CATCCAGGTCCACATCAGCTGATACGTCCTGTAGGAGAGGTGCCATCCCAGAGAATGGGAGGTAGCTGCAGGGCAGCACCAACCCTGCTCTGCTATGTTCCCTGCAGGGGTTTTGTCCAAAGGCAGAGTCCGCTGTCCCTGGCATGGAGCCTGCTTCAACATCGGCACAGGTGACATTGAGGACTTTCCTGGCTTGGATAGTTTACCCAGGTTCCAGGTGAGACCCTTGTCCTTGCAGCAGCAGAGGAAACACAGAATCACGGGATGGTTTGGGTTGGAAGGGACATTGAAGACCATCTGGTTCCACCCCCTGCCATGGGCAGACACCTTCCACTAGCCCAGGTTGCTCCAAGCCCTGTCCAACCTGACCTTGAACACTTCCAGGGCTGGGGCAGCCACAGCTTCTCTGGGCAGCCTGTGCCAGGGCCTGCCCACCCTCACAGGGAAGAATTTCTTCCCAATATTCATGCTCTGTCTCAGTCAGAAGCCATTGCCCCTTGTTGTGTCATTCCAGGCTGTTGTCCCAAGTCCCTCTCCAGCTCTCTTGGAGCTCCTTAAGGCACTGGAAGGTGCTCTAATGTCTCCCTGGAGCCTTCTCTTCTCCAGGCTGAACAATCCCAACCCTCCTGAGGGCTACTCTTGATCCCTTCATCCCCCAGCCTGGGCTCATGTTGTGGATTGCTCCAACCCTTGTGCAGCACCTTGTATTTGGCCTTGTTGAACCTCATGAGGTTCCACTGGATGCATCCTCTAGAGCATCAACCATACCACTCAGATTAGTGTCACCCACAAAAATGTGTCTTTGTTTTGGAATAAGCAACGTTCTTTACGGCATAGAGCGAACGTTTTCCAAGGAAAATGTGCTGGTGTGGGTAGTAGACCTTCACCTAGTTTCTTCCTCCCTTGCACTCACCTGTGTGCATCAGACACCTCCTGGGAGCCTGTGGGGGGTAGATGCCCAGTCTCGAGTAGGAGTAGGCTGGGAATGAGAAACCATAAGTAAGCCTGGGATAGAAATTAGGTTGTACACTGAGCGTCGGTGCACAGTTGATATGAGACAGGAGATATCCCACAGTCTTGAGCTGGGATGAGCCCTGCCAGGGCCTCAGCTGCTCTGGCAGGCAGCCTGCTGCCATCGCTGCTCCATTTGTTCGCTGTTGCCCAGAGGGAGCCCTCACTGTCCTGCAAATTGCTGCTGTTCTGTCACCCTCAGGTGAAGATTGAGAAGGAGAAGGTGTACATCCGAGCAAGCAAGCAGGTAATGGGCCACTGACATCCCAGAAACAAGGCAAATGCTTTTGGGTTTTGCTCTGTGTGCATGGGGGTGGAGGGAAATGCTTTTCCTTTGGTCCTGTGGCAGGAAAGCCATGCCTGGGCAGAGGGATGTGTGATATCCAGCATGGGTGAACCAGAGGTTTCAGGTCTTAAGGTGTTTGTCCTGAACTTGTCCTATGTTTCCTTAAGCTCAGAGCAACTTTTAATTTAGTTGGCCCATTGAAACAGGCCTCTTCCACCAGTCTTTTGGCCTTGTCCGAATGTGACATAGTGATGCCAGAGGCCACCTGTGCTCCCTCTTGAACCCAGGCATCAGCTCCTGCTAGGGAGGAACCTGGTGCATGGGCAGAAAGGGCTCTCATCCTCTGACAGGATGCAGAATGAAGCCCATTCAGGCCACTGCTGTTTTTTCTTTCCATGAAAAGCCTTCTTTTGGTGCAACATTGGCATGTACACATGTGCAAATCCAGTGGCTCAGAGCCTGATGGACCCTGCTAGCACTTGCTTTAGATCCAGAGAGGTCACCTGAATGGTAGCACTTCAACTCCAGCTGTGGAGGGATGTGATGAGGGGGACTGAGACTATTCCCTTGACCAGGAATGGATTTTGGCCTCTGATAACTGGGGCCAGGTGGTCTGTGCAGCAAGGGCTATGGTGGAACAGGTCCAGCGGTGTGCTCTGGGGAATTGGACAAGTCCATCAGCTTTGGATATCAGGTATACAAGCTCTGCTCAGGTGCAGGATGAAATTCCTGATAGAACTTTTTCATTCTCACCTCACCTGTTGGTGCAGAATTGCACAAGAACATACCTGGACTGCTTTTTCAATTCCCTCTCTCCTCCCAGCTCTGTGTAGCTGGGTGGATTTGCAAAAGATGGTGGATCTAGTACCTTGTAAAGGGTAGTACACTGGACACTGGAATGGTGTTTGGATAAGCAGAGGTTTGAGTTCTTGTTTGGTACAAGGGCACAGTTGTTCCCTTCCTATCCAAGCTGGTTTATGACAGTACTGCAGTTGTCCCCATCCCTGCCTGGCTGCCCAGGTTAATGTTGAGTAAAGATAATGATTTTCCTTCTCGGTGATGGCACAGGCTCTTCAGACACAGAGGAGGACAAAGATGATGGCAAAATGCATCTCCTTGAGCAACTACAACCTGAGCAGTACCAACGTGCTGATCATTGGTGCAGGTAAGGATTGTATGTGCTAGGACCACTGTGTGTGTCTCCTTCCCAGCAGGGGTGCAGGGAGCAGAGGGTCTCTGTGCTGTGTCACACCCCCCCTGCACCCCTGCTGTGCAAAAGATCAGACCAGAGGGTCTTCCTGAGCCATTTTGTCCTACGTGCTAGTGATCCAAAGGTGCTCTAGTCTGTGGAGCTTTGTCACTGTCCTTTGGAGTGGGTACCCTGAACCCTCTTCCTGCTACACCCTTCCCAAGTACATCAGCAATCCCAGATTTCCACGGCTAATAAGTGTAAAGTCCTCTCAGATGTCCCTGTGATGTGGATACACTTTTTTTCTCTTGGACCTTGTACATCGTCTCATTCAATTATAGCTCCAAAGTTCTCACCTCAAGGTGCTTCTCTGAAGATAAATTCTTCCACCTTCTCAACAAATATCAAATCCTTGCCAAAATAGCAAAGCTGCCAATCTACCTCTTCCTTTCTCTTGTCCTATCTTCATTTGTGTATTGCCATTTCTTTAGAAAGCCTGATGGGGTGAAGCCCATATACTGAATTTCTGGATTGCATTAGATGCCAAGGCTCGGCCATGATGTGGTGAAATGGAGGGTGCTGGACCTGGAGCTGCGAGGGAGTGGCTGCTCCTGGCACATTGGTTGTTCCTAATGGATTATAGCTCCCAGATCATCAGATCCAAGTTGTAGAAATTGGGAGCATCTGAGGATCATCATCACAGCCTGAGCAAAGGGGAAAACCAGCCTAACTGGCTTTTCCCTTGCTGCTCGGTGACATTTTTCCCTTCCTTGTTGCCTGAAAGGTGGGGTGTAAAGTACATGCTGCTCCCTGAGGTCAGCTGGAATGTCCTGGCATGTGGCAGGGCTGGACAGTTGTCACAGTCTCAGTGAGGTCACTCCACAGGCAACATTAACCATTGCTGAAGGAAGTTTCTCAGGCTTTACCAGCTAAATTCACAGCTCTGCTAAAGACCAAAGTCTGTTTTGGTGGATGATTTCAAATCTGAGGTTGTGGGGAGTGTTGGTAAGAAAATGCCATCCAGCCCTACAGCAAAGATCAAGATCCAGCCATGCCCAGCAGAGCTGAGGGCAATTGACTGTCACCCCTTGCTCATGTGAGAGTCATCCTGGCATCAGTGCAGCATCAGCTCTGGCTCAGCTTGCTCCACCCACCTATCTCTTCTGCTGTCCCCTCCATCAATGGGAGCATCTTGTTGATGGACCAAACCATGATACTGTCCAGGTCCATCTTCTCTCTTCGTTGTTACAGAAACCACGTCCCTAAAAACACATATTATTGAGCAAAGCTTCCTTGGCTGAGAAGAGACTCAAGATTTCTCACCTGAGCTCTCCAGTCTCACATTTAGGCCAAGGAAGAAGGGATGTGCCCATCAGGCTACCTGGATGCAGGGGGACAGCATGCCCCTAGGAAGCTTTTTGTTTGATTTAGTGCTTTTTTTTCTGTGATTGGAACAAGCAAACAAAAAACCCTTAAAGAAATAGCATGGAAAATGCTCTGCAGTGAGTCACACAACCAACACTTTGGCTGTGGAGAAGGGAGGGCTCTCTGCACTCCATGCTTGGCCATAAGTTCACCAGGAGCTGGGTGTGCAGACCCTTCCCTGACTAAAGAAGTCCAAGGATCTGAGCAGCTGCTTGTGGCCTGGAGCTTGTGAGAGGTGTGTAAGCATTATCAGCGCTCAGGTGTGCTCTTTGTGGTTTTGTGACAGTTTAGGGACAGACAAGAGGATTAATGTCACACTTCTTAGACAGAGGGTCCCTTCTCTTGCCTGGTGCATCTGCCCTGACTGGCTTCCTGTGTGAGCTGTTTGACTTAGGAAGGGCAGTGAAGTGAGGCCAGGGCTGGGGGAGATGGTGATTCTGGAGTTAGCCCCAGCAGGTTTAGCAGTAAAGGGCTCAGATCCCCCAGTGCCCCATACACGTGGCTGTCATTGGTCTCCTTCTCCCTTAGGGGCAGCTGGGCTGGTCTGTGCAGAAACCTTGCGCCAGGAGGGTTTCTCTGACCGGATTGTGATGTGCACGATGGACAGACACTTGCCCTACGACAGACCAAAGCTCAGTAAGGTTTGTATCACTCTGGATATGCCATATTGCTCTCCAGTTTTAAAATTTGCTTTAGGACCTTTCCCCACTGTTATTCATTGCAGCAGCATGGTTCTCTTTCCTTATTCATAATTTCTCTGTTTCCCTTGAATTTTCTTTCCTGTTTGTGACTAAAATATGAAACACGAAAAAAGTTGTTCAAACTCTGAAGTAAGAGTAATCCAGCGCAGAAGAAAGGGCATTCTTCTCTGTGAGGGTGGTGAAACCCTGGCACAGGTTGCCCAGAGAAGCTGTGACTGCCTCATCCCTGGAAGTGTTCAAGGGCAGGTTGGATGGGGCTTGGAGCAACCTGGGCTGGTGGAAGGTGTCTCTGCAGATTGGAACAAGGTGAGCTTTAGTGTCCCTTCCAAGCCAAACCACTCAAGGATTTATATGATGATTCTTCATGGGTCTAGCCAACTTCTACCTGGGTGGATCTTCTTAATGTGTGCCTGAATCAAAATCTTTAAGGCAATGAAATGAGGCATGTGGAAAAATGGTGTTGTCGACCATGGTTTTTTATGAGTGCATGGTTCTTGTTGCCAGGGATGCTCCATACCATAATTATGATTATTCTCAATCATCATCACAACTTGATATCTTGATGGCAGTGCAAACATCACTTTTTCTGACACAAATTCCATTTTGCATTCCAATTTGTAGATGTATGATGATCTAGTCACATTTCTTGCTGCTGATTCCTGAGCCTTCTTTGATGTCAGACAGCAGATCAGGTTGGACAGCAGCATTTGGCCTCGGAGCTTGGAGATAAAATAAGGTGGACTATGTGTTCACCTTCATGTCAGGAATGTTTATCCATGGGGGATGGTACTCTACATCTAACTCTGCTTTCAGAAGCAAAAAAAAGGGATTTCCAAAGAAAGGCAAATATGCACATGGCTTTTTTTGGGAGCATTCAGGCTATTTCTGTGCTTTGGCAAGGTGAGGAGCAGCTGGCTGAAACCTGCATCTAAGAGTCACAGAGGTTGTGCCGGGGAGCTCAGAGAATCTTGGAGTCCCTGTCCCAGCCAGGCAGCTCTCCCCAAACAGTTATCCCCACGTGGGAGTCTTAGACTGGCTTTTATTCTCTCTGTTAAATAGTAAGAACATTTCACACGCCAAAGGTATTGTACGTTATGTGTTAGACTCTTCACTAAACACCTCTGGCTGTAGTTGCTCTTAGAAGGTGCACAAAACCCATGGAAGAGAAGGCTGAATTTTTTGGAACAAAAAAAATGGGACTTTTCTTAATCCTCTTGTGAGTGGGACTAATCATGTACAGAGTTACTGCAGGAGAGCACACAATGCTGTAAGCAGCAGACTTCTTGCTCCCTGAAACTGCAGCACTGCCCTTCCTCTGCCCTGCTGAAAGCCTATTATCAGTCTGTCCCCAGATCCTGCTGAACTGTTTCTCTTTGTCCCTTTGGACCACGACCTTCTCCCTGCTGTGTTGCCATGTCTCTGTTGCCATCTCCAGAGCACCAAGCAGCAGCAAAACCCATGGTGGTTGTGCACTGCTTTTTGTTGCGCTTCCTGGCACAATGGGGTCGGGCATTCTCCGCTGTAAACATGGAGCATTTAAAAAATTTGCCGTAAAACCTGTGTGACCCTGCCCCTGCCTCAAGTTCTTCAGCATAGGTCCCTCCTCAGCAGAGTATTGTCTGAAGTCAGAGTAAGGGAGTGTCCTGCAAGGCTCATCCCAGCCCGACTAAACCACCTCCGAGGATAAGGATCTTGCACATCCATCCCCGTGGGCAGATGGGAAAGCCCTTGATTCCTGCATCCCTTATCCCTCCTGGGTCAAGGCCAAATGTCATACCTGTGTGACACAGGTAGATGCTGCTGCTCAGTGCTGTGTCAAAATTGCAGGGCTTGACCGTTCCTGGTATACTGCAGGCAGGGAGGGCTGCACTGGAGCAGGGAACAGCCTGCACATCCAGCAGGTCACTTGATGCTCAGCTTGTCCTCAGCTCAAGTCTGAGCTTGTCTCCACAGAGTTAGAAGGGCAGATGAACTTGGGCTCAACCCTGCATATAAAGATGGTGTACGTCTCACCACAGTGATTAGGGAAGGCTGGGAAGAGCAAGAACCTTCATCTTACAGCTGAAGATGAGCAGATACAGGCCCCATGCCCCTGCTTCAACTTTTGAGGGAACTTGTGCAGCATTACATGGGTGCTTTTGAAAGTGTGTCCTCATATGTTAATGCTTCTTGTTCTTATTGCTCTTCTACCTTCCCTTTCCCATGGTAACTGGTTGTTTTCCAAGTAATCATAGAATAGTTTGGATTGAAAGGGACTTTTGAAGGTCGTCTAGTCCACCCCCCTGCCATGGGCAGGGACACCTTGTACTAGACCAGGTTGCTCCAAGTCCCATCAGTCTGGCCTTGGACACTTCCAGGGATGGGGCAGCCACAGCTTCTCTGGGCAACCTGTACCAGTGTTCTACCACCCTTATTATAAAAAGGGGCTCCTGTGAACCTGTTTGTGCTGTCAGGAGCTGCAGTTATGGCTGCTTTGCCAACTCTCAGAAGCATTTACTGCCTCAGCTGGTCACTACCAGCCCCACACTGAGCCAGCAGAGAAGGAACTGGAGCCCAGATCGGCCTCTTGTGATAACTTTTACTTGAACAGGCTTTGATTCCAGCCTATAGAGCCGCTCCCTTAACTTGTGCCATAAGTGCTGACTTCAGGCTACTGCTGACTTGTGTTGGTAACAGCTGTTTCTTCACTTACCTGTTCAACCCCCAGCATTTGATGGAAAAGTGACTTTTTTTGCAGTCAATGGATTCCCAACCTGAGCAGATTGCCCTGCGCCCCAAGGAGTTCTTCTGCACCTATGACATTGAAGTCCTGACTGAGATGCAGGTAAGGAGAGTCCTTTGTGTTCCTGCAGGCTATTGCCAGCAAGTGCTGGTACGCAAAGGCCATATTTAGGGAATGTGTGTCTGTTCTTGGCTCACTGGATGCCATTGCATAAATGTTGGCTCTACCCCAGCCCCCTGCACCGTGCCCCAGAGCACGGGTTGCCTGTGGTTGTTCAAAGCACGGCTAATGCCATGCTCCCGCGGCGGGAAGGACACCCTGGGTGTGACTGTGGTGTGGCCATCAGTGGTGGCCAGAATTTCGTACCTGCCATTTGCCAGCACCCTCAAGTGGATCTTGAGTGGCCAGTTGCCCTCTGATTAGGATAATCACCCTTCAAGCAGTGGAGACGATGGCTTAAACATTTCTCCCCGTTATTTTATTTATGTTGGGAGATCTTCAAGGATTTGTGAAAAGGTAACAAGAAATATTTAAGGTCTGGATTGGCCAAGCTGTGGACTGAGAAATTAACATGGAGGACTAAAACCTGACAGATGAATTCACTGGGCTGGGAGCTCGGTGAACATCTGGGATGTACCGTTAATCAATAAATACCTTGCTGCTTTAGACACAAAACCCTGTCTAAACAGTTTTTTTATCTGCTCTTTTCTGGGCATCACATCCCTTAACATTATTTAAGAATGATTTCAGGTTGCGGCTGTGGATATCAAGAGCAAGATAGCCGTGTTCAAAGATGGATTTAAGATGGAATACAACAAGCTGCTGATAGCAACGGGAAACACGTAAGCTACAGACAAAAATCTTAACGATCAAGAGAAACTGTTTTATCTGAGAATGTGAAGAGACTGTGCCTGGGGATAAGGAGTGAAATATGGCAGGTGAATTCAGACACTGAATTTGTTTACAAGAGTGTTTGTGGAAAAGTCAGGGGACACCAAAGATATTGGATATATCTGTGTGTATCTACATCTACATCTACATCTATATATCTATATATTATCATCTATTTCATATATATACACCTACATGATATATATTGTTAAATTATTGAATCAGAGGATGGTTTGGGTTGGAAGGCATCTTAAAGCTCATTTGGTTCTGACACCCTGCCATGGGCAAGGATACCTCCCACTAGACTAGGTTGCTCCAAGCCCCATCCAGCCTGTCCTTGAACACTTCCAGGTATGGTGGCCCCAGGATCTTGAACATATTTTCTTTAACTAAAGCCTCCAAAGTGGAAGTATTCTATTTTTTTCTAGAGGTCATTTTTGCCATGTTGCTCTTTTTGCTCTTCAGTAACACTCAACCCTAACATCCCTCTGAATTTCATCTTTCGTTTCCTGCCAACCTTTTAGATCTTTCTCAGCAACTATGGCTTAACACTTCACTGTTGCAGCCCTAATAAGGTGTTGCTGTTGTCCAAGCCTAACAGCTTTTGGAGCCTTGCCGTCAGGATGGGAGTTTTCAGAACTGAACCTCATCCAGCCATAGGAAAGGTGGTATTGATGTGCTGGGATGCCGAGCTCCCCCCAGACTGGCATTGTCCCTTGTACCCTGAAAGTAGCGGGTTAGTTTGTTTTCAATAGGAGATTTGTCAAAATTGGCAGTTTAAGGTGAAAATAAGGCATCCTGGTTCTCCTTCCTTGTGCTCTTTATACCAAGCCATAAAACAAAGAATGAGAAATGCAGTCCCTGCATAATTTATCATCTGAGGAAGGGATGCTGCAGAACAACCAGAGCAGGGACTCACATTGAGACCCAGTATGGCACCAGTCACAGCAACAGCCCCCAGAGGTGTGAATGGATGGTGTTGGGGTGTACAGTGCTGCAGCCAAAATGCCATCTGCACCAGAAACTGAATTAGGTTCAAAAGAGGGTTAAGCCTTTGGCAGTAATTTCAAAATCCTCATACACAAGATGCAGGTACACAGGGTAAATGTTTTCTAAGGTACCTAAAGTTTTTAGAATCATCTGTCCCATTTCCAGATGTGAGTCAGGTATGCAGGGGTCAGATATTTAAAAATACATAGGTTCCAGTAAGTGCCTGGGGAGGGCATGATTAAGCTGCTACAGCATCAGCAGTGTGCCCACAGGAATGGACACTGGAGCCTGCATCTTCAGAGCCTTATTAAAGTTTGAATATCTGGCTCCAAAGCACTGCTGGAGGACAGAGTGAGTTTTCTGTGTCCCATTAAGCTTCTGAAAATTTTAGGACGTGCCAGTGTTTAGCACAGGCTTGTAAAGCTGTGCCTGTCCTGTGCTGCATTGCCCCAGGAAGGAGCTCCCCTGGCCCTGTGGGTACACAGCGGGGTCTGTGGTGGCTGCCCAGCATCCCCTGCTTGACCACTGTCCACCAGCTTTTGTGTTTTTCCATGTTATGTCTCCAACCCAAAGAAAGGTGAAGAAAAGGAAAGTCTGGGATGCTGCTGGAGCCCCAGAAGGGGTGTCTGCTGTCCTGATTGAGCACTGCAGCCACCATGGGGTCAAGAAAAGCAGTTGTATCACGCTCAGTGTTTTTCAGGCCCAAAGCTCTCAGCTGCAAAGGCAAGGAGATGGAAAACGTTTTCAACATCCGGACGCCCGAAGATGCCAACCGTGTGGTAAAGCTGGCCACGA